GACCACATGTGACCGGCAACTCGCATACAGGTTGGGATATTTTTTCTTGGACCTTGCTACAAGGATCATACCTCGCCTTCCAAAGAAGCTCGGGGACTACATCGATGATGCGATGCACTGCCGGTGCATCTCGTGACGCCTGTCTGACGATTGGATTCTCAACTTAATCGAATTCTTTTTAGACCACACCACCACGTGCTTACGTCACCTACTACCGTGGCTCGGGACTAAGTGGGCACACTTCACCTTGCGGTGAATGTGTTTGTTTTTCGACCTCTCGCGCTCGATGATCAAGGACGCTTACGCTTCAAGAGGCACTTACATTTCTTTTAGAAATACAAGTGGGCACACTTCCCAAGACGGAAATCTTTTCTTTTTTTTCTTAAGAGCACCATACATTCTTGGACAACCTACTTCTCCGGCGGCGACGGTGGTTAGAGACGCCAAGGACTCAAGCCTCACTTGTTCGGAGAAGGTTGAAATGGCGTGTCGCATCGAATACATGGCGCTGGGGACTAGCCGTGGGGATAGACCCCGGGTACCACAAGATGGTACATGGGCCGCACCATCCGAGGTGGCCCGCCCGTGAGATCAAATGGCGTGCTGCAATGCTGCTTGGCGGCACCGCAAGACATTGTAATAGTACCAAATAGGATACTTTACTTGTAACCTTGTCCTTCGAGTAGTATATAAGGAGGGCAAGGGTCCCTAGAGGACGGATCCATAGAGATCGACAACATACATCTCAATACAATACACCCAAGACACGGGGCGTAGGGTATTACGTCGATCGACGGCCCGAACTCGTCTAAATCGTTGTCTCTCACGCCTTGTGTCACCATCCGTTCCCGATCACATGCATCCTACCGATAATCTACCACCACGGGCACCCCCCTCGGTGGACTGCCGACCATATTTCGTCGACAGACGCCGACAAGGTGGTGTCGTCAATGGCGGGCCCCCTCCGCGTGGCGCCCGGGCCCTTCGGGGGTTCCTGGGCCTCGCCGGCTACTACCGGAAATTCATCCGGGACTTCGGACTCATCGCTGCCCCGCTTACGCGTCTCTTGCGGCGAGACGTGTTTGTGTGGGACGCTGAGGCGACGGAGGCGTTCCAGGCGCTCAAGCGCGCCCTCACTACCGGATCGGTCCTCCAAATGCCGGATTTTGACCAGTTGTTCATGGTGGACTGCGACGCTTCGGGCGTGGGGTTTGGTGCCGTCCTGCATCGTATGCCGGCCCCCTCGCTTTCACCGCCCTTCGCGGCTCGTCACTTAAAGCTAGCGGCGTATGAGCGCGAATTGATTGGTTTGGTGCAAGCGGTGCGCCATCGCGCGGCCCTCTGGGTCGCTCATTTTCTCATCCGCCTTGACCATTACAGTTTGAAGTTTTTGTTGGACCAGCGTCTGTCGACGGTACCCCAGCACCAATGGATCAGCAAGCTGTTTGGGTTCGACTTCACCGTCGAATACCGCCCTGGCCGGCTGAACACGGTGGCTGACGCCCTGTCCCGCCGCGACACCGAGTCAGTGGCCGACTCGGGCGGGGAAGGGGGCGCCAGTGCGTGCGCCATCTCGGGCCCCTCCTTCGCCTTCATCGATGACATCCGCCGCGCGACTGTGACGGCGGGTCGATGCGCAACTTCCGCAATGAGCGATTGGTGGCCGGGCGAAGCGCGCGCCTGGCGCTCGAACGCCGGGCTGCTTCTCCACGGGCGTCGCATCTTCGTGCCCGACCACGGTGATCTGCGCCACCAGGTGCTCTCGCTGGCCCACTCCGCTGGCCACGAGGGCGTCCAGAAGACTCTCCACCGCCTTCGCTCCGACTTCTTCGTTTCGGCGATCGCACCACGGTGCAAGATCTGGTCGCGATCTGTGAGGTGTGCAACAAGCAACAAGACGGAGTCTCTACGGCCTGCCGGGCTGCTGCAGCCCTTGGAGGTGCCGTCCCAAGTGTGGGCGGATGTCTCCATGGATTTCATTGAGGGCCTCCCCAAGGTGGGCGGCAAGTCGGTCATCTTGATGGTGGTGGATCGCTTCTCAAAGTATGCGCATTTCATTGCGCTAGGCCACCCATATACGGCCACCTCCGTCGCTCGGGCATTCTTCGACGGCATCGTCCGGTTGCACGGGTTCCCCACATCCATCGTCAGTGATCGGGATCCGGTGTTTACCGGGCATGTCTGGCGTGATCTCTTCCGGATGGTGGGCGTCAAGTTGCGCCTCAGCACAGCGTTCCACCCGCAGACCGACGGCCAGTCCGAGGTGGTTAACAAGGTGATTGCTATGTACTTGCGCTGTGTTACAGGTGATCGGCCTCGCGCATGGGTGGACTGGCTCTCGTGGGCGGAGTATTGTTATAATACTTCCTTCCACACCACCCTTCGTGCGTCGCCGTTCGAGGTCGTCTACGGCCGCCCGCCACCGCCCATGGTGCCGTACCAGCCGGGGACGGCGCGCACGGAGGTTGCTGACGCCCTCCTCCGTGGCCGCGACGAGATTCTCACGGAGGTTCGTCAACGTCTACTACAGGCCCAGCAGCTCGCCAAGCGGTACTACGACGCTGGCCACCGCAATATCGAGTTCACCGTCGACGATTGGGTCTGGCTGCGCCTACTTCACCGCACTACGCAGTCGCTGGACCCCCGCGCCAAGCACAAGCTCGGGCCGCGTTACGCCGGGCCGTTCCGGGTCCTGGAACGCGTGGGCGCTGTTGCGTACCGCTTGGAGCTTCCTGAGGGTGCCCGGCTCCACAATGTCTTTCATGTGAGCCTCCTAAAGCGCCATCGGGGGGAGCCGCCAGCACTGCCAGGCGCGCTGCCGCCGACCGTCGATGGCCGGCTGTCTCCGGAGCCGGCTCGGGCGTTACGAGCGCAGCAGCGCCGTGGAGTCTGGCATGTGTTGATCAAGTGGCGTGGGCTTCCGAACGACGACGCTACTTGGGAGCCCTTGGAGGATTTCCGTGTTCATTTCCCCGACTTTCAGCTCGAGGACGAGCTGTTTGTGCAGGCGGGGAGAGATGTTATGACCGGCATGCATTATAGCTGGCGAAAGGGTATTAGTGGCTAAGTCTAGATAATTTCTATAGAATCAGGGGGTTATTTTCATATTTCAATAGACGAGATAAATACTTATGATCAGGGACTAATTTGGTAAGCAGAAACATATTATTGTTTCCGGCTTCCTGAAGGGAGCCGGGAGAAACCCTAGCCGCCGAGTTCTCTTTCTCTCCCGTGAACAGTACCGCGATACTGTAGTGCCTTCGTCGTGTTCCTCGCTCTTCGTTGCAACCAGCTGCAAGGACGGCGCCTCAGAGCCGTCGCCGAGCTCGTCCCCCGATCTCTCACCCTTACAACCTCCGACCATTCACCGGTAGGATCCGAAATCCTATCAATCCTCCACTTCATCTTGAATACTCCAAAGCACCGCTCGATGATATTTCTAAGGGAAGAATGTGCGAAATTAAATGTCTCTTTTTTACCTTTTGCCATTGGGCCGTTTCAAAACTTCGGGAGATAGTACTTTGTACCCTTGTATGGTGCAAGATAACCCGGATGGTTAGGGTATCATGAGTCGACTAGGTAAAACTTCCCTACAAATTAAGAAAATTTTGTCAGATACATGACTTGGTACATATAAGTGCAAACAATGAACATAGAGAGAGTAGTGTACGTGGAGGTGGATGTGGAAACTTGTCACCATATTTCCATAGAGCATCTTTGAACACCCTCATATCATGTACCAATCCAGACCATCCCGCAATAGCAAAAGTAAACCTCATGTCGAAGTCACAAATAACCATCACATTTTGAGTGGTATATCCATGTCTCCCCGTATGTTGTACCACATTTGTAGCTGGCACCACAACTGGTATATGCATCCCGTCTATTGCTCCAATGCAATTGTTGAAGAATGGAGAAAACCGAGGACCTTGTACTCTTTGGTGCACCGTCCTAAATTCAGGATCTAGTGGCCTAATGATATCTGCTGCTAGCTTGTTCAAAGCAGCCAAAACTATGTCAAATTTGCGACTGACTGTCTCTTTTGATCTCACTAAACGATCTTTAGCTTGTCGACAAGACTGGGGTGCACCAACTATCCACAGAAACATCCCTAAAGCCTTTACTGATAACATTTTGCTTGTTGACTTCAACCCATAGGACTCCACCAGCAAATTATGAAGTCTATCAAACAATGGTCTACTCATCCGAAACATGTTATAGCAAGATGTTCTATTTGCAAGTGTTTTTTGTACCCATTCTAAGCCACTCTCTGTGGGTTTCCTCCTCTTAGCTTTGTGAAAGAAAGAGTCATAGTAGTACATGCCAAACATCATTGTCATCTTAATAAACTCCTCATTCCACCTCTGATGAGCCAATATCATATCCAGTGTTTCATCCTCCTCACTTGATGAATTTTCAGCCTAAAAAACAAGTAGAATTCATGTCAACAACATAAATTAACTAGGATCACATCACAAACATTAGATAACTAGGATCACATCACCAACATCAATTACCTAGGATCACATCATCACATCACCAACCTCAATTAACTAGGATCACATCACCAACATAAATTAACTAGGATCACATCATAAACATAAATTAACTAGGATCACATCACAAACATCAGATAACTATGATCTCATCAGAAACATCGTTGCAGTAGGATCACATCACAAACATAAATTAACTAGGTTCACATCAAAGTAGATACAAAGGTTCACATCACAAACATAAATTAACTAGGTTCACATCAAAGTAGATACAAAGGTTCACATCACAAACTATAGCCAAAGTAGCCTTGCACTACATTGACATCACAAACTATACATATTTTTCATCTGGCACCATCTATTCAACCAAACTAGCCTTGCTTCAGGTGTGGGGATGTTACAGAAGAACACCCAGTTTTCAGCTTTTTAAACCTCATTCCACCAACAAAGTACTCAACGCTGTCCGAGCTGCGCCCCATTCTACAGCCAACTCCTGACATCTCGTCATAGATTTCTCCATTTTTCTCCATGCAAGATCCTCTGAGTGGCTTCATTGCTAGCAGTCCATCTCTCCATGATTGACTGCATTATCTTAACCATTGGGCTCTTGGTCTTCCTTTCAGGACTTGTAGCTGTGGTACTCGTACTAATTGCCCTCTTGTGGCTGTTGGTACTCATGGGGCTTTGACCAATGTCATCATCTTCCTGTTCAAAAGCACTTTCCTCTTCCTCTGGTTCAGCTTCTCCAGGGATACAGGAGGAGGATCCATCCACAGCCACACCTTGAAACATTTCTTCAAGTTGATCTAGATACTCTGGAGGACCATGCTAAAGTTTCCTTAATTCAGGTTTGCCCTGAGGAACAAAAAAATTGAAATTAGACATATCAAAAGGGCAAACAGTCCGGCAAACATTAACAATTTACATAATAAACAAGTCATAGAAATAGTGTACCTCTGTGTGCTTGTCCCAGAATGCAGGAGAGGCAACAACTGTCCCATTAGCACGGCCTAAACCAGTATGTGCATGGAGCCACCTCCAGAATGGGTATAGGGATTTGAGTTGACAAATTCTGTTGCTCAGTTGCTTCCTATGGTGCATCAGGCCAGTTGCCAAGTAATACTTGTCTGAAATAATCTTGTAGCCTCGTGCTGTCATAGTTCCATTGTTGCAATTCCCTTATCTTATTTGGTCAACGCACAACTCATGCAAAAGTAAAGTATTTTCTTCGGACCATTATGCCTTGTCAAATTTGATCTAGTAAAGACAACAAAATTATGCAAACAATTATGAACTGCAATGCACATGCTAACGATCATGCACATGTTAACAATCATACACATGCTAACAATCATACACTATCAAACATAATTTACAGTACCTCCCTCAGTCATACACATGCTAACAATCTAAAAGTTTTGAGATTGAAATTATGCTTACCGACGAGCTCCCATCGCCGTCATGCATGGGCATCCTCTTCTTCTTCTACATTGAAGTTGTCGGCAGCATCAGCATTTTGTGCAGGGCTGCCGCCCATCGATCCTCCATGACCTCGGCGACCTCCACGACCTCTGCGCCCTCCACGACCTCCACCGCTCGACGTGGCTCTCCCACGAACTACACCGCCTGCTGGAAGACCTTCACCGGATCCTCCCCCAACGGTCAGGGATCTCGCACGCCCTACTACACCGCGCCTTCCTCCGTCCACGCGAGGAGCGCGTAAGAGATTCTTTGCAGCCACGCCATCTTTGCCACCATGGATGCGAAGGGGAGCAAGGCCCTGACCTGCGGCCGAGTCGGGTTGATACGCCGGGAAGTCAGGGAAGCCCTCCGCCTGGGAGTTGAGATCCAGTCCCTCCAAACCCATCCGGGGAGCACGCACGCCGCTCACACCTCCAAGCCCATCCGGCTGGGGGAACATGTCGAAGATGGAGGAGAGGGGCAGGGGATCCGGCTGCGAGAAGTAGTCCCTAAAGCCGTCTCTGCCATGGCGACTGGATCTGGCGTCAGGTGGGGTGGAGCTGCAGTGCCGCATGACGGCGGCGGCAGGAACCACGAGAAGGCATAGGTAGTGGAATCCTAGAATGCGGCAGTGGAACCCTAGAATGCGGCGGATGTACTCATCGACCCCGCACTGAGCAAAAAATAGGGCGGGCAAAAAGAAAAAGGAAGAAGACGCGTCAGTGAGAAGAAGACACGTCTGTAATATGAAAAAAGGGTAAAAAATTTGTCCCCCGTGAGGATCGGACCTGAGACCTCCATCTCCACAAGTTCATGTGTTACCAGTGCGCTACGCTCGTGAGTTCAACTGTGCCCCTTAATATTTTTATTAGGGGTGACAAGTTGTGCTATGAAAAAATGGGCAAAAAATTGTCCCACCCAGGATCGAACCTGAGACCTCCATTCGTGTGCTACCATTGCGCTATGTTCATGAGTTTGAGAAGGTGGAGGTTTAAAATGTAAAAAAAGGATCCAACTGGTGGGGATCGAACAGGTGCGTCCCTTCACCTGCCTCAGATCGAACTAGTGCCTCAGATAAATTGGGGATCCAACTCCCATTCACTCACATTCTTCGCTCCAGCCGTCCCCCGTCGTCCTCTTGCCTCCCCCACCGAAGCCGCCTCCAGTAGATTCGTCACTACCGCCGCCTCCTCCTCCGCCGCAGCAGCCGCCGCCATCCAAGATGATGAGGCCAGAGAGGCGGCACTGCCAAAGGGACCTAAGTACGTGCCCTCATCAGTGGCGGCGAAGAAGAAGGCTGCCTCGCCGACGTTCAAGAAGAAGGCTGCGCCCGCCTAATCCTCAGCGGAGGCGAAGAAGAACGCCGCGCCCTCTTCCTCGGCAGTGGTGAAGAAGAAGGTAGCGCCCTCTTCCTCGGCGGCGGCAGCGAAGAACAAGAAGCCTGCACGCTCATCCACCGCCGGTGGCAAGAAGCCCGTGCGGGAGGAGCCGCAAGATAGCACATCGGGAAGCGAGTTAATAGTGGAGATGTGCCGCCACTGCTACGAAGGAAAAAGCCTGTCTAGGCTTGATCTACGGTAAGGGGCAGTGCGAGAAGAAGGCGTCGTATGTGACAGAACCACCCAATTTATACAAGATCAAGTATGGCTGCCCCCGTTTAAGACGTTGGCACGCACACATTTTCACTCGTATAAACCCGATAGTCTGCCGAGTGTCACAAAGGACCTCGGTAAATCAACATCACAACCAAGATCGCATGATTAAGCAAACACACATCACATATCGAGTTTGCAGCGGAAATAATATTACAATTGAGTTCACAAATAATAATACAAGGTTGAGTTCAAGACTGATTAGCGAAACAACATAGCTTTGAAATGATTACAATAACATAAGTTGAAATATATATTGCTAGCTTAAGTGACATCCTCCAACAATAGCATGAATGAGGAACCTATAGAGAGTAGCCGAGCCCACCGGCACTTAGTCACCACCTTCAGCACGATGAGACCTTCACCTGCAATAGGGTGAGATAAAATCCTGAGTACTAGAATGTACTCAGCTAGACTTACCCGACAGGAGAGAAATAAAAGACTCTCAAGAATATGCAAGGCTTATTTGGTGGAGCTGATTGGATAGCATAACTTTACAAAAGAGCATTACTAGCATAAGTCCTTACTTTCAATATTTTAGTCAATATTTTAGCATCAAGTTTAATGAAGCTATTTAAGACTAAGTTTGCACCTGTTCTATAGCAAACACTTGATTAATGTGCATCACAATAGTAACCATATCTAGTTTAGCATATAATCAAGATAACCATCATATTTTGTCAAGTGTTACTACGAATGCTGGACAGTGGCCAAGTTTCTCACTATCCAGGAGACACGACGATTTGAATCGATTGCAACCAGCTGGGCGAAACCTAAATCACACACCCGTACTTCCCTCGTCAGGGTTGCGTTAGATAACCTTTTTCTCAAATTCAGGTTCCCGTGGAACTGAACTGGCCGCACCACCCAGGGGGCAGACAGAAGTCAGGGTAGTTTAGGCCCGGCCTGCCCCTTACTCTTCCTATCCCACCGCACATCCTTACTCTCCTCCAATGATGCCCATTCTCAGTTCAAAACCCAGCCCGAATTCGAGGTACTTGGCTTCACAGTCGGAACGAGTTATCCGGCCATTATGTGAAAGGTACGTTCAATCTCGAGCAAGGTCCAACAACGGTACGATCCTTAACCGACACAGACAGGATCAACATAGCCAAACCTATCACCATTTGCATATAAGATCCCACCCGGTCTCCATTTATATAACATCACATGGTTCTTTTCCACGATAGCAAATATAGCCAACCGTGACCAGGTATCCACCTATATCTCGTAGGTCACAGAAAATCAGCCGACTTCTACCGGTCTAAGTATGGCTAAGCTTATAAGTCAGCCTACACCTAATAAGGTGATAGAGATATATTTTCTGGACAAGGTAGGGAATATGCATCAACGATTTCATCCAACTCCTATCAACCTAATGCATCATAAAAGATTATACTTGAGTGCATTTTAAAAGAGAGGGTAGGAGGCTTAGAATGCTTCGATGCTTGCTTGGAATCCAACACTAGGTCAGTGTTTTGTTAGATGACACTCGCTTGGCGAGTATCTCCTGACCGGCATGTACTCCAGTGGTCCTTCCATCTTCAGGATCCGTCCACCAAACACCGTCTTCGGGTTCGGCTCCAACATCACGTGCTTCACGTCCACGCACAGTACACCTGGCGTACCTAGATGAGATGCAACAATGCAAGTGCATGAATACGAAGAATGGTAATATAAGATGCATCACATAGAAGCATTCAGGACATGCATAAGGTTACACCTCAAGACATAAACACTTAGAGAGCAAGTTATCTAACTATCACCCAAGTCTAGCATAGGGATAGTGAGCATAACAAGCATGGCACACTAGTTAACTCAAGTCAAGCTATTGCAAGCATTTAAAAATCAAGAGCTAATTAAGCATAGCATCATACAAGAACTAGGGCTAATGGTGCTTATCAACATGGCATACATAAGTACATCACACAACTAGCAAGTTGAAGGTGATCAAAGTATATTACATTTGTTTTTAAACCACTCATGCCCAAGCAAGTCACACACCAACATCACTAAGGTTCTAGCAAGCTATGCAGCAAGGTTATTTTGTGGCAACATGTATACATGACCATTTATTAGTTAAGTGCTTGAACAACATTATACAACACATTTATAAGATCCTCAGGTCGATCAATTTAACTCTAATAGTGTTATGAGCTAACTAACAAACACACAAGGCAACATCAAGTTAAAGCCAACAACTTAAGCACATACATAGAATCTGGACAGCAGCACAGTAGTCACCTGTTTTAGCCATAACTAGAGATATAATTATCCAACAAAGGTGACTCTAGACTTTATGGAAAGCTTATGAAATTGTCTACAACTTTGTTATTATAACCAATGCACAGTAGTCACTTGTTTTAGCCATAACTAGAGATATAATTATCCAACAAAGGTGACCCTAGACTTTATGGAAAGCTTATGAAATTGTCTACAACTTTGTTATTATAACCAATAGCATATTCAGCAAATAACAAGGTCAAAACATACCAAGAAGCAGATCTGCACAAACAAGGACAGAAAACTGACATGAACTTAATAGATGCATAACTGGAGTTCTAGACATTCAACAAACATGAACCTTAACTTTATTGAAAGCTTATTAAGTTATCTATAACTTTATTATTATCATCTCAGGATTATTCAACAGTTAACAAGACCAAACAACACAAAGAAGCAAATCTGTCCAGACTTGGATAGATTCTGACATTCAACTTTAGACAGCCATATCTAGAGATTTAGACCTCCAAAAGATGTGTTATTTAACATTTTGGAAAGCCTATGAAAAGCAATACAACTATTTAATTATCCACAAGATATGATTACATAGCTATCTAAGTCAAACAACATAATCTTTCAGATCTAAACAGAGCATATGCAAAACCTGACAGGGAACTTGTAAAAAACATAGCTCCCAAACCAGCAGGCCTAAAATCATGAAATTTTAGGACAAGCAATATAAGGATGTTATATACAACTTTTGTATTAACCACATTCATAGGAAATATCATTTGCATCACGAAAACATTACCAAAATAGAAACTGCTCTAGCAGCCATTTCAGCACATATGCAATAAGGTTCTTCATTTAATTCTTTAACAACGTAACATATGCATAAGTTAAACACATAGCTCACAACTACTATGAACATAGTTAATTATCATTAGTTCTAGGTAACATGAAACACCCTAAACACCTTAAGAAAGAATTAAAGCAATGATGAAGAACTTGTATAAGCAACATAATCATTAGTTGTTATATTAACATGAGAGCATACATATAAGACCTATTCAAAGCTCAACCACACTTATCATAGCTCAGCAACCCATTCAAGTTAGTGTAAGCAAAGGAGCATCACATGACTTAATTATATGCATCTACTAGCAAACTTTCATTATCCAATTATATAATAAACACATATATTAATTATATGTGATGTTCCAAACATAGAGTTTGGAGCTGAGATTTTTATAGGTGAGAGATATTAACAAAGTAGGACTGCTAGAAGATCACATTCTCAGGTTTTATAGATTAATTATTATAATAAAAAAGTTTTAATTACAATAAAGCATGTGAGAGCAAGATAAATCTATAACTCAATATTTTCTGCAAACACATGGCTATATTAGAGTTCCTTAGGTCAAAACAACATCATACAAAGTCAGTAGAACCACATTTTACATTTTTATACACTTCTAATATTTATAAATCATATAACAAGCATTAAGTAAGTTAAATCAATAACTCAGTCATACATGCACCAATAAATCTAAAATTTTTATCATAACACAAGAGCATCATGTATAGATTACCATAAAAATTTCACAGCAAATGGAGCAATATAACTACAGATACGAACTTAACCCTAAAAAGCATAGATAAATATCTACAGCAAAAGCTTTCTACTAAAATATATCATATTATATAAGTATTGTATAGATCTACTCACAAGGATTCCAAAACATCTTCATTTGCTATTTTAAGAATTTTCTAGGAATTACTATGATTTTCCAAAGTTTAGCCGAGTATATGCATAAACAAAAAAAAGAAAAGGAAAAACACTTTTGCATCGGGAACCCTAAACTTTCCTCAAACTGATCGAGCCCATATGTGTAAAGTACTTTCTCTGACGCTTTTGCATCTAGAACCCTAGAACTTGTTTCTATTTCATTTTCACTCCTTCTCTACTGGTCGGAGCAGAGGATGGGTTCGGGCAGCCGAGATCCGGCCGATGTACGGCCGATTCCTACGGCTTGGCCAGCTCGTCGGCGGCAAGCGGCAGCGGCGTGGCCAGCCTAGGCTTGCGCGCGGCCGAGGGAGGTGACATACCGGCCAGCGGCTGCCTGTGGTGGCCTGGCCACGACGATAGGTGGCTTGACAGCCGACGCTCCGGCAGCAGTAGGCTACAGTCAGCGCCATCACGGCTAGCCGTGCTCTAGTGGCGGCAACGGCCACGAAAGGGCGCTGCGGGAGCGACGCGAGCAGAGGAGGAGCAGAGGTTGGTGAGGCAGGGTGGAGGAGGATGGAGAAGGGAGCGGCGGTTGAGCGAGCAGGGCCGGCGA